TTAAGAATTAAATTACCTTAGATTATATGTAAAAAATTTACAATACTTTTTGCATGATGATCCTCAAAAAAAATATTTTCTTCCTAATTCTTTTTCTAGCTTTTTCTTGGGAATGAAAATTAAAAGAGCTTTAAGCAGAACACAGTGAGTAAGGGTAATCAAACCGTTCGAGCCATCTTGGTGGCACAGAAAATAGAAAACATTTCGACAGCCACACTTCACGAGCTTGTAAGAACAAAAACTAAAAATTTTCAGAAGAGAAAAAACACTGCTTAATATTTATTCTATGAGCATTATATTTTTGTTTTAAATCTTTTTTTGTTTTTTTGTAGCTCTAAGACAATGATGTAATGGTCTATGTAACCTTTTTGATAGTATTTCTGTGTACATAGGATCTTATATAATCTTTTAGAGCCTTTACTTCCAACTTATAGCTGTTTAGTTACTTTGAAAAACAGGTATTAGTTAGGTAAAAAGCAATCGAATTTATTGTAGTAACACCCATAACTTAGTTTATTATAGTAAAATCATGGCAGGAATAAAATATAGAGAAACGATACTTCAAATGAAAACTTGTAAAATATTCGACAGGAAAGCGAGTACTTGATCACACCGGTTATTCACCTTTTTTGTCTCCCACTATAGGGGCGGCACTATAGTTAAATTTCGTTTTTAACTTACACAACTTCATATGGAGATGCTTTGATTCACGAATGCTTGGTAAGTTGGAAGTAACCTGCTTATGTGCATATCACTTCTCGTTTTTGAGCTTCTTGGGGTTTCGAAGATTCGTTGGTTTGAAAAGATGAAACCAGAGTTCTTTTTGGTCTAATGTTAAATTTTTCAATTAGAGGAATCAATGCTCTGTCTCTCACTATCTGTAATTCAGCGGCATTGTAGCTTTTTTCAGCCAATCTCATTTTGCTATTGCCAGGAGGTTTCGATTGTTTTGAAACGCGTTCAATATTATATTCTCACTTACCACTCTCTTTTTAGCTTCATCTAATTCCATGGTAAGTAGTGCCGGCCTTTGGGTAAAGAAACCCGGGCAGCCTCGAGAATACCCGCTATTTATTAAAAATTTAAAAAAGGAATACAAAGTGTATGAGAAAAATTAATTTTAGCTTGACAATAAAACTAATTGACACTGTAATCTATGCGCGAAACGCTTTATACATTTTTTATTCACATGACTACCTTTCATTGCGCATGTCATGACATTTTTTTTCGGTAACAACACAATCGATGTATAGAGAAATATAACCTTCACTGTGACTTATAGTTTTTTACATCTTAATTTGCTGGTTTTTAGATTACTGATTTTTACAAAAGGCATAGAGAAAAATTAAAACATCTTAGATTTCATTTTATGGGATCAGAATATGCGCGGGGACAATATTGACCAGAAAAGGTCAAAAACTCACTTTTCAAAGAAATTGGCCTTATAGGCTTTTGCAGTGTGACTGTAGATATTTTGTTCTTATTGTGAAGGGATTCTCCGATTTATTTCACAAAGCCTTATCATAAAAAACATTTGTTATATAATGAATGCGCAATAAACAAACTCAAATTTTTTTTTTTTTTTGAATTAGGAGTCCAAGTCCCCTTCTGACATTTGAATAGTCTGGATAACGGGACACTAATGAGATTTAAGTGCTTATTCCTCAAAGCCACTACCCCTATGGAAAGCTAGTGAAGGATAAATAAAGGTATTCCACCTGCAAATGCTTATTTATACATTGCATTAACTCCACTGACATGTTTTTGGCTTCAATCTTCTTCAACACTAATTGATTGTTTCTCGAAATTATACCGGTTTCCGTTATGAAAAGGTTTTATGAAGTTAAAATATCTTAAACAAACTCATATTTATAAATATTAACATGACAGGCATGATTTTGTTGTATTCTATTCAATATTAGTGAATTTAAAAGAGATGTGCCAAAAATTAATTGTAACCATAAGAATTCTTTTGTTGTTATATTAGGCCAGGCATATACGTTCCTATATACCTGTCTGGTAAACCTGTACAGGTAAATCGGAAAGATATACCAGTGCAGGTTAGAGTACACAAACCGGAATATCTTAACTTAGTCAAGAGATGGCAAGCAAACACGAAGACGACGCGACTTTACTTGATTAAAATTGCACATATATACCAAGAGCGACTCACACACATGTTCAGGTCTACATGCCTTGCGTAGGTAGACTATTATAAATTCTACTACGGTCGCTTGTACAGTTCGCTAAAACTGTGCAGTTTGGCCTGCACCGGCTAGCATACAAGCTCCAGTTTGCCTGTACAGGTGACCTCAACAGGGAAACCTTACCGGTGTAGCGGAACGTGTAACCCGCCCTTAAAATTTGAGATGTTGATTTACGAAAATGTGAATAACACAAGAAAACCTTTCTTTTTACCTGAATCAAATTATGTTTATTTGCCTGAAAATAATATTTAGTTTCATTTATTATAATAATTTTATAATTTTAATTAATTATATTACAAGAATTAATGTAAGCTTGTAAAAAAACCTATCAAGAGACTAATGTTAGAATGTAATTGGAAAATTACCGACCACAAAGCCTGCTGTATCTAAAATGCAGATCATGAGTAAAATAACCCGCCGATTCAGGCATCACCAGGACAGGAAAGAAAACAAACCTAAGATCACATCACTTCGTGACACCCAATTGCATGCTTGAAGAAAGTAATGTATATAGGTGGAAATAAAGGTAATATGGATATTTAGGTAGATATTCAGTATCGGATTGGATGTCATGGAGCGATTTAAAGTTTGTTGGTTTGTTTTCATTTCTGTACCGATGATGATCAAATTGCTGAAACATTGACAGTTTATTTTATTATTTATCTGCATTTCAGAGACACTAGGCTGTGTGGCAGAAAAATTTACAAAAATAAAAAAAAATGAAGTTTTAAAATAGTTTGCAATGACCCAGTGACTGCTTTGAAAGTCGTGTAATAAGATTATGTTAAGGTCGCGAGGTAGTGAGCATGAGAAATGAGTCAAGGGTAGGCACTGCAGCATTAACAGAAAGTGGGTAAGCTAGATAGATCTTGGGGTCGATTGCAGTAATGGCACGTATTCATCGCCCATCCATCATCGTCTTCATCAGAGGATGGATATCATTTTTTTTTCATTGATACATCTCTACGTGAAGTTCACAAGGGAAACTATTTCGATAGTGAATATTTTAATCCAAGTTTTCAACCGAAATGTACTTCTGACTTCTTCTGATCCATTTATCCAAGTTTCACAAAATGGTCTGTGTGTGTCTCATATATTCGTATAAAACCTGGCTCGAAAACGAAATGTCGTACGAAACTGAAATTATATATTTAAATTAATTATTGGGTAGCTATAAACATTTAGTAAATCTAAAAGGAATTAAATGGTAAATTTTGGAAATTTCTTCTACCAAATCACATTTAATTTTGTTTATTGAGAATAACTGAGCACTTCCTATTGTGAATAATAATAAAAAATGGTTGAATATAAATTATGATTGAATTGAAATGAAATTATGAATGAAATTAAAAAATTAATTACAGGAGAAAAAAGAGTTGGTAAGATGACCGAAAGTGCATAACATAGACGAAGCGCACATGTCCTTTCTGTAGCAATATTATCTTGGGAACTTGTGGACCAATTTTGGTGTGTAAAAATTGTGGTATTTTTTTAAACTTTTTTTTCAACTTTTGAAGTTAACGTTTTGCATAAATTGTATTTATTTATTTATGATATTTACAACTGTATTATTTAGTATAAGTACAAGTAAATGTGAATCCAGCAATATAATAACATGAAAACGCTTCTGGAGAAACTACCCATTGATACCACTCTAATAATACGTCTACATAAGGAGATCACGAGGCCATCTTCTTTTCAGACGGTTTGGGAGGTTATTAGGAATCGAAGAGGAAGCAAGGTTAGAAACAAGGTTAGAAACAAGAGGATTCGGATGGTTATGAAGTTTATTATGGAAGGATAGGTATCTGGATTGGGCCGAATCGAAAACATGTTGAGGTCGTTATGGATGATTTTATTTGTGACAAAGTAAGAAACATTGAGAATTTTACGAAGGATTTTGAATTGTAAGGATTGAATGCGAGAGAAATTCGATGGTTTAGTGGAGCCCCATAGCTCAACTCCGTAAGTCCAAATAGGTCTTATTATAGTCAAGTATATGAGTCTTTTGTAATTAATGGGAAGTTTAAAGCGTTTGTCTAGTAAGTGCTGAAGTAATCGGAAACTTCGAGCGGTTTCTTGTCGTTTCAGTCTAGTATGAGGATTCCAAGTTAGTCGTTTGTCCAGGCGGAGTCCTAAGTATCGGATTTGCTCAACAGGGATAAGTGGAGTATTGTTAAAGGAAACTGTAGGACAGGCAGTCGTTGGTTTAAGACGAAGTGTAAAGGTAATTTGATGTTATTTATTGGAGTTTATTTTAATTTTCCAGTTTTGACACCATTCTTCAAGGTTAGTTATGGGTGATTTAAGAGTTCGCGATACAATTAATGAATCATTATTAACTGATGGAATACATGTTTCATCGGCATACGTGGTGATGATAGTTTAGGATGGGTTGGAATATCAGTTGTATATACTGTGTAAAGGGCCTAGAATACTAGCTTTAAGGAAATCCAACAGACAGAAAATCACCATAAATCTATAATTTGTTTCATAAAACTTATTTTTCTAAAATATTTCATGGAAACTATTGGAATGATAGTTAAAAAAAAAAGTTCGATGATAAAAGTATCGACACCTTGTATGTATAGCTATTTCAAATTTCTGTCAGTGTTGAGTGTTTTTCCCTACTCGTCACACTGTGAAGATGTAGATTATATCGTGATGTGTTTAGGTTTAATATATCTCGTAGATTTCTGAATGAATTAATATAATTTAAAAATAATTTAGTTTCATAAATATCCCATTTAATCATTTTACAAATATAATTTTGTATAATAATAGCCTACTCACGGTATATCATTTCTCGGAGATCTTCTAGCAATTCAGTCCGCTTGTCTGGAGTCTCCCCCAGGCGGACCCTTGCGTATTCCATAACCTCGTCCGGCACATGCTTGATATCTAAGAAAGGCTGAACATCACCGATGTCGTCCTTTATCACACTCTCCGGCATGCTGGAAATATAAATAGTAAACCAAATTAATTAATTGTTTATAAATTAACTTAATATATAAATAATTAAATATTTCTCTGGTTTATGATTTTATGAAAAATTGTTTGTTACAAGTTTCCTTTACTCGAAATTATGACTTTGAAGAGAGTAAAAAAAAAACTTGGTAACTGAAAGTTCCAAATCATGATTTTCAAATGGTATTCAAGTATTTGAAACTAGAGAACTCATCTTTAGAGAATTAACATAAATTACTTATACTAATGAAACAAACTTAAAACCTATAAGAGAGATTAAGTTCTTAAGAACATGAATGTTAACAGTTTCATATTAACATTGTTTGTTTATTATAAACTCCATTTAAAATTTCTTCTTTTTTTTTTTTTTCTTTTTCTTTCTACTTTGTACAAAACACGAGATTATTTTTTCTTAGAAATACTTTTTTAAAAAAGTACGTTGAACAGTAATATAGACCTCCATTTCGCATGATTTTATGTATGAAAAACTCTTATAAACATGTGTAAAATTTATTTTAGTTCCTTTTATACCCGTGTTTTCTGTGTTTATATTTTTTTTATTTGCATATTTCATTATTTTTCTAATTATAGTTTATTCACACTTTATTTAATGGGAAAATGAATATAAATACTTAGAAATAAATAAAACATTTTCATAAAAACTCGACTCAGCACAATTCAGGTAGCGAAGTGACCTAACTGACCCACATTCGCGTTCTCTAAAATTGTGTGTATAGTATATATATATTGCAATGGATTTTTCTTATTGCAGCTATTTATTCTCTGTAAGATGGACTTTATCGTGTGTAAAATAAAACTGTAAAATAACGCATGATAAAGTCCATCTTACATAGAATAAATAACTACAATAAGAAAAAAACATTTAATACAAAATACATATGAATATAAGAGTATGGATATGTTTTGGACTAGTATTTAATAAATAAGAGACTCATAGTTTCATTACGAATTTCGAAATTCCAATGAAACAAAAAAACAGAGGTATAAACTTTATTTATTTTCAGGAACTACATTCTTAAAGTGTATATCTTATAGGGTATAAAATATATTTATAATGTAAAACCCTATCTTATAGGGTACAAAATATATAAATGTATTTATACTTTAAGGCCCTATCTTATAGAGTATAAAATATATAAATATCTATATAAAACCCTATCTTATATGGTACTAATGATACTGGTTGAAAATTTCATCATTAAGATTAATTAGCCTTTGAGAGGTCTGACCATGATTGAATTAAAACCATGAAAGTGAGGGAAATAGAATGTTCATCAGACAAATTCATAAGTAATACTGAAAATTCAATCCACAATTAATTTTGTTAGAAATTAAAAAAAAAAAAGTGAAATAGAATTAATAGAAGCAGTAAATAAATAATTTCCACATTACAGAAGAATTTATAGCTCTTAAATAATATTGTAAAGTTATAAGCTGAATATAAATTTAAATTTAAAACGTTTAAATGGAATAAAATACTATAATTTCAAATTATTCAGCATTAACCAATAAAGGCTATGGATGTATAGGTACGCCACTCATCAAATAAAATATGTTTTCATTATATTCAGTGATTTGAATGTAATAGATGTGAGGGAAACAGAAGTCTTTAAAGTTTCATTATGATTACACTATCTGCATATATTTCACTAGAAATATAGAATCGTAAGATGATTCGATCCGAAAATCGAGCAAAAAAGATGGCCTATAAAAATGTTGATTAGATCTGCGTGACCTTCTCATGTCAAAATCACCAGGTTATATTGGGCAAACGTCCCAATATTGGTGTAGACTACCTTCTTTCTCGATTTTGTGACCAAATTATCTTACGATCTAAGTGAAACGCAAATATGCATTTGTGAGTTTTTAGTGATTTATTAATTTAATTAGAAAACGCCTCATTTATAAGAATTTTCTTAAATAAAAAAGTTGTTGGTCACGACAAGATGAACCAATTTAATTAAATAATAATGATAATAAATTGATTAATTTAAATAATAAATAAAATTATTTATTTACTTCTTCTATTAATTCAATTTGATTCGTTTTTAATTACAAACAAAATTATAGAATTTTTAGTATTACATATTTATTTACGAAATTTCAGGCAGATGTTAATACAATGGTGAAAAGGGGTCTTTACCGATATCTATAAACTGGACCGCTGTCCAGAATTACTGGACCACCAAAGTATATATTTAAATCTTTAACACTTTTTCAATTTAAAAAAAATATATTTTTTCAAAATTCTATTATTTTCTGAATAATTAAATAAAAATTGTCACGTTAGTGATTGTGCTAGTATCCGTCAGAACTATTCTAAAGAAAACTCATTAAAGATTGAAAATAGGGTAAGAAATTACGATTGCAGATGTTACGACAATGTTGAATTCAGTTTTCTGACTCATTTTGTTAGTATTATTAAATATTAATAACAAAATGTCTAAGGAGAAATAAAAATTATAAAAATAGTTCATTTTCAGATACGCCACTTTGGCATTTTACCGCCGATATCCAAATTACAAAATGTATTCATCACACTACATATTATTTATCGAACGAATATAACGTAATCACATTATTAATTATTTTAATATACATTTCCTTAGGAACGAATTCTCATGTCACCTCCCAATTAAATTCATGTAAAACTACATACCAAAAAGAACAGTCTAAGAAAAAACAACATTTATTTCTTGTTAAACGCTCAGAATTGTTGCTATATTGTTTAATCTCGGTTTTTATCTACACAGGTTAAACCACATTATCGAAATGTGGTTAATGTGAATCAAATAATCACAAGTTTTAATGAGATTGTGGTAGCGGCTTCATTATTTATTACATAACGGGGACAATAACTCAGGTAAACTACACAAGTATTGGTGATTATCGGTGATTCATTGGTCAATTATGCAAAATGTTTGTAGTTCCTGTAAGATATTTTTTCTTCGTGGGATCTAGTTGAAAATGAAACTATAAATCTTGTTTTGCTTGAAAGCAATGTTTGATGACTTCAGTAACCCTGCCGAATCTAAATAGATAAAAAAAAAATACATAAAATCGGAATTATAATCTAAAATAATTTGATTTATTACTCTTTCAATACCGAAAAATGTTTGCCTATACAAAGGAAACGATTAACAAAAAAAATAGTAATAACATTCCACTGAATCAAAAAACTAGCATTGCTTAAAAAATTATTTCATTGTGAAAGTGAAATAATAAAATATTTCATGGATAACCTTAAATATATTTACTGGTTTAATAACTCTAGATTAAATAGATTATGTTTAAATAAATAGATATATATCGTCGATTTATTTTTATACAAAAAAATATTTCTCTTTTTGAAATCACAACATTATACACTTGCAATTAGTGTGACGACTTTTCACCTTTCGGTGGTAAATTTAAAAGCAAGTAACTGAATTTCAGTATGTTTTCCAAAGGTAAAAAATAAGAATTTAAATACTCGTAACATTGAATTTCTCTCGTATCCAATCCTTACAATCCAAAATCCTTCGTAAAATCCTCAACGCTCCTTACTTTGTAAAAAAAAAAATCATCCATAAAGACCTTAATGTTCCATATGTTTCCGATTTGGCCCAATCCAGATACCTATCCTTCCATAACAAACTGCAGAACCATCCGAACCCTCTCGTTTCAAACCTTGCTTTCTCCGCGTTAAAACTTTTTATAATAGCTCAATTTCGCCAGAGAAGAATTGCTTTTCGATGTAGAGCGGTAAGTGAAAGTTGTGTGATGCTCGCACCAGATTGTTAAATATGCAATATCATATTTACCTTCGTTTCACAATGATTAAGTTGAAGTTTTAGAAATGATACGAACTATTGAAAAATTTATTAATTTTTTTTATTTGGCCCTTCGCCCCCGCAATCAAAATGGAAAGTCACTAAAGTTGTGATTACATTCCTATTAGTGATTAAATTCGTCTTTAAAGGGTCCTCAGAGTAGTTATTGTTTATCTCTGGTTCAGCGATGCATTAAGTTTCTAAAAAAAATGTATATTTTGTTGTTACTATATTTTATTTATTTACTGATGTAACTTCTTTCCCAGATATCTCAGATAATTTAAAAAATGTTAATCATTTTGAAATATTAATACCTACTTTATTAATATTAATAAAGGAGGTGGAGAGGAGAAAGAGCGTTATAACCGCCTAAATGATTTAAGAAAATAAACAGGTTGCCAAAAGTTTTGTCGAAAATCACAAAAAAAAAAAAAAATTAAATTATTCTCTATGTATATATTGTGTTTCATTTAAAAATATTTATAAATTATACCTAATAACAATAAACCGTATGCTCAAATAATTGCTGCTTACCCTAAAAAGTAAGTAAATGATTAAAACATGTTTTATACAATAATTTGTTCGTGTTTTGAGTCCAATTTGCTTCAAAGCATTTTCGGGTTCTCACCAAATAAATTGAGCCATCAAACTTAAAAACCGGTCCAATCGTTTAATCAAAAAAGATTTACATACCTGTTAGTGGACGATACTAACCCATAGCCTTCCGGATGGCTTAGACATAAGTATCAATATCGAAGAAAGTTTACCATGATGAACAAATGAATAACAAACTTAAAAAATTATATATTTTCATCGTTTTAACTGACTATTAAAAATTGAAAAGGTCGTAATATCTTTTTAAATTTAAGCATGTAAATGGTATTATTTTTTTTTTGCACAGTTCTCTAATCATCGCCTTCCTGTTTAGCTCACAGCAAATAATTTGACCATTAGAAATAATTGAGAAATCCCTTCGCTATTTCACGAAATGCTTAGAAATGACTACAATCATAGAAGCGTTCGAAACCGAAATGATGGTGCCTAACGAGGATACCTAACACCTCTTCAGCTTACAATGCTCATATTTCTTCTATCGTCGCATTTACTCACTCATAGATCCTTATTAGAAATAATGTCTTAACTGACTACTCTAT